TCTTTTGATACATTTTCATTTGTCTCTAAGCTTCCACAAGTTGCAGATTTAAATAATCTATAACCTTTTTCATCTCGTTTATGTATGCATTTCATGCATCTGAAGTTTACTAGAACTCAGGGCTTTTTTAAAAACTTTATATACTTTTTTGTAACGTTCAAAATGTTTTGCACTCCATCCTGCAGCCTTGTTTTTGTTAATCAAGTGATATCCGATTTGAATTCACTCCTTTAAGTGATTGTTCATAAAGAGTCCAAATGAACTTTTATTAACAAAGCAATAATAATTGAGCACTATATAGCAGCAAAAATTATGAGAAGCACAAGTTTCTTTCCTACCCTTGTTACCAAAGTACAGTACAGTGGTGGTATGTGAGACATCTGGTCTCCTCTTTTACTTAAAAGTATGCATCTAAGGACCTAATTCTTATAGGGAAGATGTCCTTGTAGGCAAAAAGCTAGTTTCAAGAAATATCTTTGTTCCCTGAACCAGCTTGAACTAAATACTTGTTTGGACAAAATATAACACTCTTCTTAACAAGGAACTCTCACTCACTTGGCTTACCACAAACCAGAGCACCCAAACCTGGATGGTGTCCTCTAACTCCTGTTTTTCTCTGTTTTAATTGCAAATAGCAATAGAAGTTTTTGGGAAAGTTTGTTCAAGAAGGCTCTATTGTACTTGTAGTTACAGCAGAGCATTACATAAACTACATAAGACTATGTAATTCTTTAAATCAACAAACCCCTGACCTTTGCTGATCCATAAGCCACAACTGTGATTAAATATGTAACATCGTCTGTTCCTTTTTCTGTCGCTTTAGTTTTAACTTTTTGGTTCCCTGTACCTGTAAGCAATGTTGGAGTATCTTGTAATGTATCTTTTCCCCCACCCCCAGTAAAACATGAGTTATGAACCACTAAGAAGTAGCTGGTGGGACTCCATGACAAGCCCTTGCTTCAGAGAGTAATCTAATTCACAAAGTAGCCCTATGGGATGGTTTACACAAGTAAGGAAAATGCCATGAGACTAACAGGGTTACAGGTGTTAACAACATACTTACTAGGATCTAGTTCCAGTATCCTGTATAACATTTACTTGCAAAGCCTTAATACAAGGATGTCAAACAAGCACTTTCTTATGAGCCAGACCACAGGGCTCCTCCCAGGTCACATCTGGACACAGCAGTGGCAGGGCAAGTGGTGGGAGTTAACCTACCCATACAAGGCTCCGTACCCCAGCCTTTTGGCTGCAGGCTCCATGCCTGCATTTATGGGCCATCTGGGAGCCGTATAGGCTGGATCCAGGCTGCAGGCTGTGCACTTGACACCCCTTCCGTATATCTGTTTTCAAATCTCACTACTCTTGTTTAAATAGTTTTCACAGAGTGCATTTAGTTATGAAGGTAACTCACTCAATCCTCTTGAAGTAATTTTAAGCCTCTGTTAACTTGGAAGTGTTCTGCAGAGGAATCTGTTAATGATGAATCCCTCTCCCTCTACTCATTAGGTCCACGTTAAAGAACTTCCTGAAGCATGGGGTTGGTTTTTTGGGGGCGGTGTTGTTTATTTGTTTTGTTTCTTTTTACTAAGATGATGAAGCCAAAGTAATGGATCATGCACCAATCCTATGCTTTGTTCCCACTTGACCAAAAACAAAACCAGTAACATCTATGCAGACAATTAGGGGAGGGGGAGGCAGCTGTGGGTCAAGGTTTAGTGATCAAAACTATGTATATACCTCAGGAACTTTAATCTGCTTCTTGGGTCTTCATCGAATTCAGACTGTGGCTGGAGTAAAAATATCTAGTGTTCTTCCCCTCTCCCCACTTTTGCTGCATTTAGCAGATAGCATAAGTCTAAATTGTTACAAAATTCCCCTGAAGCTACTGCAAGCCTGTCATCATACCCCCTCAAGAGAAAGCCATAACAAATCCAAATTGTAAGGCTACTCATAGGACTTTTACAGAAATGGGAGTCAAGAGGAAGAAATTCAATCAGGCAATATGCCATTATGCTTCTTAGTCATGTAACTGCTAGGCTACCTCTCCCTCCCAACTCGACAATAACAAAACAGCAAAAGATTTGAAGCCATGATTCAGGCTGTGCTACATTCAACCTCCTTAGTGTACGTGAGAGCACACGTACGGAATAGAAATATGTACCTTTGTCTATCATAATGACCAACTGAAAGTGAGCAATGTTAGCTGGTATTTCCATGAGTAAGGAGTCAGTTATGAGTACAGGTTGGGTTTCTGCAATGCCCTCAATATGCCAGGGGGGAGGAAACTAAAAGCTACCAACTAGTGAAGCACTGTAACAGGCTCCCCAGAGCGGTCATGCAGTCCCCATCCTGGGAGGTTTTTAAGACCCGGCTTGACAAAGCCTTGGCTGGGACGATGTAGTTGGGGCCGGTCCAGCTTTGATCAGGGGGTTGGACTAGATGTGACCTCCTGACGTCCCTTCCAATCCTCATTGTCTGTGACTCTAGGAACCTTCATACTTCATGAAAACAGGAAATCCCATGTGATAGGAAGAAGAAAATCCCTTTGGGCTACAATACAGCCTTGTACAATTGGATACATTCCCAGATTTGTACACCTTCCTGGAAGCATCCAGCACCTCCCAATGAGTTCTTTACTGGGGCATCCTGTTAGGTGATGGCAGTTCTTATGTTTCTGGAAGGCTTTATTCAGGGACTGCATGAGAACTTCAGCAACTTACTGAAATTTCAGGAACTTTAATAATTAACGAAATGCCCTACGGCATATCCACATGTGGTTGGCAGTGCTGCAGACCTGACCATGGTGCCGCAAACCACATAGATCTTGTATGCAGGCATTTCCTGCGCTGCTAATTTGCAGTGCTGGGAGATCCTGGTGTCAAAAAAACCCTTACAAGAAAAAAACAGAGCCATGCTCTGGCTGCCAGCCTGTCTGCACACCTGGATCACCACTGCTGGAGCGCCGGGAGGACCCCAGGGAAGGCTGCTGGGGCTAGCTCACGTGCTGGCCCCAGTACCCCATCCAAGGCAACTTGCCACGTGCCACAGCATGCATGCAGGGGTGCCAGCCACCCCCGTGCCACTGACATTTGACCCTGGGCAATGCAGATTCCCACTCCAGGGGATGTGCCCCTGGAGATTTAGTGACACAAATCAGCTCTCAAATGACTGAATGTTGCTTCCTGACGGCACAGAGTTGCTATTGAAGCCACTTGCAAATGCTTACTCCCACTGTCTCTGCAGCCTGGAAGACTTTGAGACAACCTAGTCCGTGACAGGAGTCTCCTTTCCCCCTCCCCATCACATTTCATAGGGTGTATTTTAGCAGATGAAGCTGTACCAAAGAAACGCGGCAGTCCTGAAATGTACCTTCTTCAGGCAGAAACAGATGCACGGAAACTCAGCTACAGGATGGACAACTTCCTTGAGAAAGGAACCGAAACTTTTACACAGCACGCTACAGAAGATAGAGAACGTATTTCTCGTCTCAGAAGGCATTTTGGTCTAAGCAAGACGATGCAGAGCGGTGGGAAAACGAGGGAGTGAAAACCGATAACAAGGGCAGGGACTAAAGAGGGGAGTTTTAAGCAGAGCTGAAGGCGGAAGAGAGCGCATGGGATACAAACTCACACCCGTGTGGCAGATACGAAAACGTTGAGTTATATCAGAGCTGGCACAAACTGAGGTAAACACAGCACAAATCCAGAAAGACAGATCGTGGAGAGGAGGGGTACGAGTCAGCTGGCCCGGCCAAGAAGGGCGTAGGCAGTGACTAAAGGAAAAACAGAGCGGAGATTTGGCCCTGGGCAATATTCAGTTAAAAAGCAGCTTTACGAGGAGGATGGGCTTGAATGTTTTATGTAAGAAAGACGTGACAAGGCTGCATGTAAGATTTCTCTCTGGTTTCTTTCTTTTATTTTTACATCCCTCACCTTTGCCCTCCGGGCTTTTCTGCGGGCAAAGATCCCTTCTTGCTACACAGCTCGGTGCCGCAACAACGCAACCTCGCGCCTGTTCAGCGAGGGGCTACCTGCACCCCTGGGCTCCGAGTGCGGGCATCGCACGCTCCTGACCATTTATGATCACTAATGCCATCAGGCTCCCCCTGCCCACCCCAAGCCCCGGGTGCCAAGGCCTGAAGGAGCTCATACCTGGGACATTGCTAGGGGGCGACAGGAGCCCCCGTCCAGAGTGCCAACCATGGGGTGCAGCAGGCACACAGCCCCCAAAACTGGGGCAGCCCCAATCTAGTGGCAGAACCAGAGGGGCAACTGAGGGGGATCTAGCAGCTGCCCTCTGCGCCCATGGGACAGTGGTGCCTCACACCCCTCAGCGTGGGGGGAGGGGCGGGTTTTACCTCAGGGGGAGGGAACATTACCTCAGGGCAGGGGGGGATATTACCTCAGGGTGCGGGGGGAGGATTTTACCTCAGGGCAGGGGGATATTACCTCAGGGTGGGGGGGGAGGATTTTACCTCAGGGCAGGGGGATATTACCTCAGGGTGGGGA